AGCACATCAGAGCATTCAGCTGAGGCATCTGCCTCCCTGCGTTGGCGATACGGAGAGTTTTGGGCTGCCTCTGCGGTTGTGTGTACTTTTGGCAATGCAGGGACCTGGCCGGTCTGCACCTCAGACTGTTACCCTCCTTTAGGACTGGCATGGATAGTGGGAGGAGCAGGACTCGGAGGGTGTCTGTGGTACGGACGGCCAGCATGCTGGGATTGAATACTGGATAAATCAGCTGTCTTTTGATGGTAAATGGTCAGGAGAGGTTGTCTTGACTTGAACCTGATTCTGATCCTCTTTGTTTCTGGTGGCAGTCATATACACGGGGCAAAGGCTTTTACCATTCAGCTGGTGGTTTGCTTTTTGTTTTTCGTGTAGGTGCCCAGAACTGTACAGCTGGTGCAGGCAGAGGATCATTGCGGTAAGAGCTACTTGCAAAGAAACAACAAACCAGCCTAAGAAAACTAAAGGTGCAGAGGTTGTCCCTGACTGACCTGCCACACTTGACCATCTGGGCAAGGAGGAGGGCACCTGTGTGCTTCTGCCATCCCTGTGGACGCTGAGCCTGGCTCTGTGAGGGTACAGGTTTACTTGTCTTCCGTTTTGTGTCTCCTTGGTTCTGTGAGCAGGGTGCAAACCACAATTGAAATAAGATGCTGTCCTGGTTTTGGCTGGAATAAAGTTAATTTTCTTCTGAGTAGCTGGTATAGTGCTGTGTTTTGGATTCAGGATAAGAAGAATGTTGATAACACACTGATGGTTTAGTTGTTGCTAAGCAGTGTTTATACTAAGTCAAGGACTTTTCAGCTTCTCATGCTGAAAGACGCTGGGGGTGCACAAGAAACTGGGAGGGGACACAGCCAGAACAGCTGACCCAAATGAGCCAGAGGGGTATTCCATACTGTATGGCATCATGCCCAGTATATGAACTGGGGGGAGTTGGCCGGGGGGCACCACAGCTTGGCAATTGGCTGGGCATTGGTCAGCAGGTGGTGAGCAGTTGTATTGTGCATCAGTTGTTCGTTCGACTGTCTTTATCTCAACACATGAGTTTTACTTCCCTCCCCGCCCTGATTCTCTCCCCCGTCCCATTGTGGGGGGGAGTGAACAAGCGGCTGTGTGGTGCTTAATTACCGGCTGGGGTTAAACCACGACAGATGCCCTTGAAAAATCTGCCAGGGATTTGTGTCGTGCTTGACAAAGGAGTTTTGTTATATTTGGAAGATGTAGTTATATTTAAAATAAAATGAAAGGCAGAAGCAAAGTAATTTTCCCTTGTTTGGGAAAGCTAAGCAAGGGTTTGTTTCAGTTCTGCTGGTAGCGAAGATGACATTAGGAAGTAGTTAAATTCTATATCTATTAAGGTCTAATGAAAACCAGAGCATACGCAAACATGCTGCTCCTCCTTACTGCCTGAGAGGGACTGGGATCATCATATTTTGTGACCAAAGTTATACTGAAAGAACAAATGTTAGCTTGTTTTTTTTGTTTTGTTTTGTTTTCATTACGCTTTTAAACCTATTACTGAACTTTGGAGTTCAACATATTAAAGTTCATGTGCACTTAGCAAAATGGTGCATTTTCTGTATAGAAGCCAAATCTTAAATTACAGAACTACGTTCAGCAAATTCTGTAGTACCTTTCCACAAATCACTGATCACATAATAACAGTATGAATTTCTGAGGGAACAGTAATGTGTTAAACATTTAAATATCCCAAGCTTTGTTCGTTCCTCATCTGGCATCACAGGCAGAGAAGGTGTGATAAGCCATATAGTTGATCTCTCCAGTGCTGTTGTAAAGGACGAAACATTATTTTCTTTGGTGCATCACTGCCTTTTGGTAAAATGAGGTGAGAAGGTTACATTTTCTGTCATGAGCCAACCAAAACTCAGCATGTTTTAAGGGTCCAATTTTGAATTTTTGTTCACATTACAAATCGATGTGAAACCACCACTATTGAGGCTTTCTGGCATGTACAAAACATTTGTTCAGCTAGAAGATGAGTGGGGAAAAAGAGCCAGTGGTGATACGTCCAGATGGGAGCACACTGGAGTGCTGCAAAGCAGAACACCTGGCGTCAAGGAATAGGGAAATACAGTCCATCACTGTGTGTCTGGATGGAGAGTATCTGTGAGAGTGGGCGTTGTGGCTTTGTTGAGGACCATCACTTCTGAGATCTGGATTCTTTAATGTTGATGCTTTGTGAACGTGGTGCTTTGATGTTAGATTAAAAAAAAAAAAAATGCAGACTTTTTACCAGTAATTAATTTCATATTTTTGGAAAATATGATTTTCTAGTCAATAAAGTTTGTAAAATTGTAACCTGTCTTTAAATGGACTTCAGTTATTTCTAGGTACCATAGCCCATGCCTGCAGCAGTAGCCCCAGGTTGCTCCCAGGTGGTTGATCATTAATGGTGGGAAGGACTTTTCTCCCACTGTGGAACCTGCACTGGCAGGACATTGCATGGAGGGATTCTCAGGGTGTGTACATTTAGTCAGGTCTCTTGATAAGATGTGGAGAGTTTCACGTTGCTTGCTTTCAGTATTGTTTCTGAATTACATGCTCTGAATGTTGTTGTTTGGTATAATGAGAGTTTCTTTTTTGGAGTCCAGAATCAATACTGACTGGATTGTTCTGTGCAGAAATTTGAAGACAGAATGAGGTGAAATAGTTGACGTGTAACATGTTGGTGTGTTACTTGTCTGCTGACAGCTTCAGAGATCACATTTCTCCATCTGCCTTGATAAATTCTGTAAACCATGAAGCTGAAGACTTTTTAACCCATTATCATTTTTTACCTTGTTGTTACTGTTTGATTCTTCAGTCATTGGGGAAAAAACCCTGTATTTAGTTCTTTCTAAACCTTGGACCAACTCTACTATAAGGTAATACCACTGAGGTGTAGGATTGCTGCAGGGATTAACTGTAGTGTCACTGTTCCTGAATGCGTATGTAATGTAAAAAGGGGAGAGATGATGTAGGGGCAACCACCTCAGTATTATGAAACTTTTTATTTTTCTTATTAGGTAACTATAACACAACATGCTACTCCTACAGATCTCTGTAGAAATGAGGAATCAGTTTAGTTCAGAGTCTGTATTAAAGATTTACTTTTGTTTGCCCCAGTTTGTTTGATCTATTTTCTTTAAGTAGCTATGAATTAAGCTTTGCAGAAGGACTGGTAAGATCCTGCTGACTAGTGAGGCTTGCCATGGTCCATAAACAATGTAGTGTATTTATGTTAGTAAATGTTGTTGTTTTGAAATTTATCACACGCTCGTGAATAATATTTTTCCTTCTCACCCACTTCTCTGGAATTATTAGACATACAGCTGAACTAGTGGCTTTAGTAATTTTGCTGGTAATTGGATTAACAATTCAGTATGCAATAATAAGGCTTCTTTTAGCTGAAAATTGGAAATTAAAATAATGGTTCTATTTCATTGCTATAATCCTGTGCTTTTGAATACTCCCAATATTTGACCCTTTATTTAAAAAAAAAAAAAAGCATTTCCTTGTAACACAGTTACCATTCTTATTTACTCAGAATATATTTTTTTTTAGCTCAGTTTCTTATACTATATTCAGTTGTGCTTGAAACTTTAAGGGCGCTTTAAGGGATATCTTACTAAAGTAGGAGAGAAGCCTGTATTTTTTCCAACAAAAATTAACTTTTGAAATTAATTTCTTAATTGTGGAGTTTGTTTTTAAGTTCCTCTTAAGAAAAATGAAAGCTTAGGCTCCCTTCCAACCCAGTGTTTAAATCTGTGCTTAACTTTTAAACATCCCAGTAGGTTCACTGACTTCAGTAAGTACATATGCCATGAGGCTTTGGACAAATTCACTCACTACAACTTCTTTGGAAGCTGCTGCAGCAGGACTGGTGCTGGGCAGAGGGAGCTGAGGAGCACACAGGATCCGTGCTGATGGGCTTTGAACACAGCGGTGTCAGTGGTAGCAGTGCTAGCCGAATGCAATTTGCAGAACCGCTGTCCTTGCAGAACCTCAAGTATTGTAATTTAGAAAAGTCGTAATGGTCAAAGATTGCTCCAAAGTAGTGAGAAAGCAATTTTCCAGCTATGCCCCCATTACTGGTGTGACCTGTTGGTCACTTCTGTTTCTGCGCATGAGAAGGTCTTGCTTTTATAATGGTCCTCAGCCTGGTATTGATGTAATACATACTGACCATTTTGCCTATCCACTGACATAAACGCTGTTACTTAAGTAAACATGGTCCCAACGCTTTCTGTTACAACAGAATTGAAAGTAAGTCTGAACAAACTTACGTTCAAAGCAGTATAGAAAGGGGGTTATCCTTTTTTTTTTTTTTCCTTCAGGAATGAGCACGCAATACAGAGGTATCTGTCCTTGAAGCCCCTTCTTATTCTCCCCTAACTTTGAATTTTGTGAACTAATTTCTTCCAAAACTGGCAGAATGAGAGAAGTCTCACAGTTGCTGAATTCCTACCACTTTTGGAGCAAGCAGGCCAGGGCTGGGTGCAAATGATCTTAACAGCTCCCAGAAATGCAGAGAGTGGTTAGGCAGAAAGGCTTTTGGACATTTGTCTAATTATAGATTGCTTTTTCTAATACATTTCTTTGAGAATAATACTTTTCCAGATATATCAGTTTACAAAGTGAATCCTATTGATATTCTGCTAGATAGAAAACATAAATTTTAATAGTTACAACTACATAAATATATTTCACCTGTAATTAAATTCTGTTTTGTTTTCAGTAGTAGTATATGATATGACAAATTAATCTGTACATAGATGATATGCATTTTAAACTATCTACATAAAATTGACTGCAGATACTAGAAATTAATAACCTTTCTTACAAAAAGTGTATTTTTTTTGTCATTTGTTGTTGATTAATAGAATGTTGTAGAAGATTGGGTAAGAGTATGCTATTATGGTAAAATGGTATTAAAAAAAGTTGACCTGAATCCTGCACTTGTCATTTTTGTGACCTTTATATTCCTTCCTCACTAGAACTATGCAGCAGTGATACAGCAACAAATTATTGAGGACAAACAAAACTTGAGAGAAAAGACTCTATATGGAATCCAGCTCACAGAAGAAAAACTTAATGACTTCCGTGATGAACAGATTGGGCAACTGAAGGAACTGATGGACGAGGCTACCAAACCTAATCAAAAAGTCACCATTTCTAAAGACTCGGAACACAAAACCTAAAAGGTTTTAAAAATTGTTTTAATGCATATGGAAGCATTTTGAAACTTCCTTTTCTAGTTGGACTTGAATGTGGTTTCTGTGGAATAATGGGTGCTGCTGATGCCATAACTTGTCTGAAATGGATGTGTCTGGCTATTTGGCTTTCTATGCAAGAATAAATGTTAAAATGGAATAATCACAACAATTTTATGTTAATTGCAATTTTTTTTTTCTTCTAATGGAAGGTGGAGACTTAAAAATTCAGTAAAAGTAAATGGACATTTTTAAAAAGAAAGGTTTTTTTTTTTTTTTTTTTATCTTGGCACCCATAGGGCAAAGAATCTTTCTGTTTGTATGTCATCTTCTGCCTTAATGGAAGAGATGCAATTAGCATTTGTTTTCTGATGTGGATTCAGTAGATGAAGAACAAAGGTATGGTACTAGAGTGGGTTTGTTTCGATGGAAAGAAATGAGCAGTATTAGAAAAACATACTGCTGTTGAAATTGAAGGTTGGTTTTTTTCTTGAGCTTTATTGTGAAATGTGCTTTAAATGAAAAGATGCAGTTCATTATTAAATTGACCTTGAAGGAGCCACTGGCTTATGAAGAAAATTCTGCATTTTTTTCAAAGCTAGACTCAGATTATTGTTAGTATCTAAAATTTTTAAAGCCATTCATGAGTTGGTTGTACTGCATTTAGAATTCAAAGGCTCTTTAAAAGCTTAGTATCCCATATTATTCGGTATTTCATATAGACCAGAATTTGTACACTCCTTAATCACAGAAATTATCCTATCGCTAATACTGTATGACAAACATTAGTAATTTATTTGTAATAGGTTGTGTCTTCCTCAGGACAATGCGTGCCTATTGTAGTACTTGTACTATTGGGACTAAAAAAAATTCTGTTTTTTTATCTGTTAAGAAAAAACACACCCCT